TATTGTGCTTCTTTGTAAAACTGTGGGTATACAGTGCTGTTTGAAGTGTTAATTAAGCATCAATACTAGCTCTGGTGGACAAAGTGAAAACATTTGTGGGCTTGAGAGCCAAATTGTACTAAACACTATCATTTTTTTTCTTTTGAATGTATGAAAGAAAAAAATGTAAAGCATAAATGTAAGCAGGTATATAATGTTATATAAATCATATTTACCCAACTCTTGCTAATACGTTCTATGAATGTCCCCAGTTAATATCCTAAAACTGATTAAAGATTTTGTGTTAAAATGGTTTCAGGTTTTTCTGTGTTATAGTTCAGCTTTTTATTAACAGTATGAAGTTGAGACATAGCTTTGCTGAGCAACAGATGATGAAATTGATTTGTGGATAACACTGGAAATAGTATAAGAAATCCCAAACAGGCAAAAAAGAAAACCAAAAAAAACCTCACCAGTCTGGATGTCAAGGAAATTCATATGAAACCCAAGAGCTATAAATACTACATTCATACTATAGTCTAGACTGAGTTTAAAATTTTTTGATAAACTGGTTGATCTTTTTTGGAAATGTGATTATTGTAAATTGAAATATTTATGTTCACTGATTTGCATTTCATTTTATTACTTGGTCACAGAAGCCAAATTAGGAATGGCAGTCTAAAATGCCTAGGAAAAGGCAGTAATTTCTATAAACAAAAATGAATAAAAATTCTTTTCAAGCCATGTTGTTTGAATTTAAAAAAAAAAAAATGTATCATACTCAAAATTCCTATATAAATGAAGAGCATCTACGGCAATATAAAAGGCTCTCCTGACCCAGCCTACCTCACTCACAAGCAAGTATGGTCTACAGCAGTGCCACCCTGACTGTGCCTGATCTGTTCTGACTCATAACCAAGTGTGAGTCTGCCCAGAGGCCCTTTTGGGGAAGAGGTACCTCATAAGCCTAAGGGTTATACAATGAACAACACTATTACAGAGTAGTTTGGTTCCCTAAGGCATCTCTCTCAGACTCTCCAAGCTAGAAATTCCCAGTCTGAGAACAATGTTTAATCTAGTGTCATAGAAATATAAGAAGGGTCAGTTTCCTGGATTTTTGGAAGATCTGTCAACAAGTCCTTAGGGCTTATCCTGAAGTGAAGAATCAATAAACAGGAAATATTGCCAGGGATTTAGCTCAGTGGTTCCGGAACCTGCCTTGCAAGTGCAAGGTCCTCAGTTCAATCCCTGGTACCAAAATAAATAAATAAATAAATAAATAAATAAATAAATAAAACAGAAAATAGTTTAGAAGCTGGATCACCATCAAGATATTTGGCAATATAATTCCACATTTGTTTGCTTGTTTTAAATAACAGTGATTCCTATTCATTTGTGAACAGAGAGGAGGAGTTGGCACCTACAAAATCCTAATGATCTTCTCCCTAAAAAACTTAGACACAAACTCACAATTATGCATTTTGGATGCTTCACTGACTAGCTACCACCTTCCCAACTCCAAACCCATCACTGTGCCAAATATCATCTTTATCCTGAATGTAATTAAATAATTTTCATATTTTGTTTGATGGAGTTGGTGGGATACTAACAATGGTGGTAGCTGTGTATCGTTATTTTGGAAGGCAGTAAAGATTAATATTGTGAGCTGGAATGGACAATAGACAACCTCAGTCTGAGAGATAAAAAGAATATTTAATAGACCTAGAACAAATCAGGCTACACATAAACTAGTACTGTATCACTACTAAATTTTTATTACAAATTATAGCAGGAGCTCAAGTTGAAACAGTTCAGAATAAAACAGGGAAAGGAAAAACTAAGGTCAAAATCAATGGGCTACTAAGCAAAGTGATACCAAAAAATATGGAAAGAGAAAAGAGCAAGACAAGAAGGGTGGATGGGGAGGAAAGAAGAAAATTGGCAAGTGAGATATCTAAGCAACCTTCCTAGAATGAACAATGAAAGTGAAAGTGAAAGCTAAGTGAGGAGTAAGGGTTCCTTGACCTGAAAACAAAACAAGAAAGGCAGATTAAACCTAGAGGAAAAAAGTCAAATATAACTGAAGCCAAAACTAAAACTTAGACAAAAAGATTAGGGACAGGAAATTTTTTATTGAAATCCAAATACACGATAACAGAAAAACCAGGGAGATCGCCAGTGTTTGTTCAAAACATATCCCTTAGAAACAAAATGTAATTATGAAAGCAGAGGCCTATTTACAAGGGAAAAAGGCAACACAAATCTCAGCCAATCATGTTCAGGCAGAGGTCACAGCACAGAATGAAGAGTTCCCTTCTCCCCACCTTTGCACGTTATTGGAAGGCAAGTGGCTTTATATCTTTGTCTCTGCTCCTGTTAGTAAGCACACAGATTAGGAAGTGGCTAAAAAGCAAAATAAATAAAACCATGATTGTGCTCTGCTTCTAAAAAGTTTGAGGTAACAGACCTGTATCATTGGCAGCATAGACTTAAGTCATTAAGAAAGCACCCTAATTTACTGATGAGAAAAGATCTCCAAAATATAGTAATGTTATATAAAACAGCAAGATTCAGAATGTTACACATAACATACTAATTTCTGTATATAATAGGAGAGGAAAAATATAAAAATTTGTATTTGTTTATATTTATTTAAATCCCAGGAGAATGCAAAAGCCAGTAATAGAAGTGGTTACCAAGGGATGGGGAAGGAAAGGCTGATGGAGGACAGGATGTATCTGAGACTTTTCACTGTATCCACTTTAAGTTGTTTAGTTTTTTAAACTATAGTATCTGATAATATTACATATTCGAAATTTGTTTTTTCTACCGGGGATTGAACTCCGGACCTTGCACTTGCGAGGCAGGTGGCGGAACCACTGAGCTAAATCCCCAGCCATTCGAAATTTTTTAACTAAAAAAAACCACTAATTGGACCTAATAGTGATTTGTTTTTTTAAAGAGACATGGTATTTTAAGTACTGAAAAATTAGGTAAATGTTATTATTCTGAGTGAAAAGTTAGGGAGTAGGGGCTAAAACTGGACGTTACAGATTGGTTTGATACTGTCTGTGAGTTAGCTGACTGTGGCTGGAGAAATCCTCTCTTCTTCACCACATCCGTTCTTTTTTCTTCTCTGATGATCCCAGACCACTGACCCTTTGCAAATTCACATTTTTTATGTGAGTGAGGGGTAGAAGTATTTGGACCCTTGGGGGCAGATCTGTCATCTGATGACGAAGTTCATCTTTCATAGCTTCATATTCCTTAAGACAAGATAGAAGCGGATCTCTTGTTGGTGATGTACAACACTGAAAACTGACAATTGCCCTGCTCCACTGTTTGATGCAGAGTGGAGTCTTATGCAAGCACATTTCTTAGGTGTACAGTAATGGATCTTTTTTTTTAATCATTGGGTGAGGTTGAAAGGCGGGAATTTTATTGTTATTACCAGTTCTAGGAATCATTATCTCTGTAACTGCTGCGTGGCCTCCAGTGTGTATTTTCATTTCTAAATTGTACTTCTGCTTTTACATTTTATCTTACAACAGCTTTTTTCCACCACAGGGAATCGAAATCAGGGCCCTGTACATGTTAGGTAAGCACTCTACCATGAGCAAGAGCCCCACTTCCTAACAGTTTATTATTTAAAACACTACAAAAGAGCTCAACCTGACCGCCCCAAAATTAAATGCTTAATACCAATAATTTACCATTCTGTGTAGTTAATTTTTGGTGAAAGTAATTTTACCATCCAAACAAGCCTCTTTGCTCCAGTTAGGTTTCTCTCTAACAATAGAACATTGTGATTTTCATCTACTAGTCCTTAGTTTTAAAGTCTTAGATGGCAATAAACAATCTGGTTCTCCTCACTTTCCTTCCCGCCTTTCCATTCCCTTCTTCAGTTTAACCATCTTAATCTGTTAAAGTGATTATGCATTCTTGAATTTGCCTGCATTCTTCTGCCACATCCTGATCACCTATCTGTTCTATAAAACCTATTTTAAGTCTCATCAGTCTTCTTTCCACAACCCTCAAACCTAGTGCCCACAAGTGCTGGTTCTCCTCTGAATTCTTACAACACATATGGTCGTTAACGCTTAGCCTATGCTACTTTTCACACATTATTGTACTATGTGCGTGCGTCATTTTTTTTGTTGTTTTTTACAATTATACCTTCTTCCTCCCAGGAAAAAGGCAACACAAATCTCAGTGGAGAAAGGCAATTCTAAATAGTGATGATGCAATGTACAGAAAACACTAATTGTAGTCATCAGAGGGTGCAAAACTCAGCCTTGTTGTTTATCTTTTTACATATAATCTACTATCTAAATTGCAAGCTTAGTCTTACACAGCTTATATTATGGCTTTTAGAAGAGTGTTACATGCATATTACATGATTTTTTTTTTTTTGGTACCGGGGATCCAACTCAGGACCTTGCACTTGTGAGGCAGGGGGCACCACTGAGATAAATCCCCACCCCCATAGTACATGATTAATAAATACTTACTGGTGTTGATAAAGATGACCATGGTACAATAAAAAAAAGAAAGTCTGACTTGACTGTGTATTTTGATCCCAACCATGACTCAAGAAAACCAAGACATTTTGCAGGCATCCTGCAGTCCCCTGGAAAAGAGTGGACGCCTCATTGGTTTTTGTTTTTGTTTTTTTGGTACTGGGGATCAAACTCAGGAGCTTGCACTTGCAAGGCAGGCAGCAGAACCACTGAGCTAAATCCCTGGCCCACCTCACTAGTGTTTATAAAGAACTTCCTTTGTCTAGGGGACCCTTCCAGACCTAGTTCCCTTAACTTTGCATCATCATGCTCTTGCTTTCCTACACTGATAAATTCAGATTGGGCTTGGTTGATCAGCACTTTCAAACTGAAGACACTTCATAAATAACATGTAGCATCCATGGAATATTTGGCCATTAAAAAAAACCCCCGAATACTGGTATGTATTACAACTAAGTTGAACCTTGAAAATATGTGAAGTGAAAGAAGCCAGTCACAAAGTTTACAGGATACATAAATCTATTCAAAAAAAATAGTTAAACACATAGAGACAGAAAACACATTAGTGGTTCGGGGCCACAATGGTGTGGGGCAGGGGGTTGGGGAAGTTGGAGTAGATATGGTTTCCTGATGATAATTGCATTTATCTGTGAATACACTAAATATTGTAAACTGTAAATGGATGAACTTCGTGCTATGTGAATTTTATCTCAATACAGATTTTTTTAAAAGAAAATTATCTTCATATAGTGCAGACAAATTTAGTATACTCACTAAATCTAAAAATGCCTTAATATCCTACTCAGGTTTCTCCAGAACATATTTTTCAGGTGGCACCATTCTGGTTCCTGTTCAGTCTGAGCAAGAGGCAGATCAGAGGTAGGACAGCCCAGCAGCTCTCCTCAGACTTCCAATCACTTCTCTACATGCCTCGGCTCCAGGTCTATGCTTTGGCTTATTCAGATGTGAAATCCTTTTGTTTTCATCCTTCAAGACTAAGCTCAGAGGCTGAGTACAGTTCTTGGGTTCCAGCACACAAGCAAAACAAAAAAGACACAAGCTAAAAGACTTGTACCTATTTTGTACAAGTCATATACAATAGGTGCTTCATAAGTATCTTAAAATGGTGGCCATTTGCAAGGACCATTTTTATATACTCAGTTTAGCATTTTACTAGCCAAGTGCTACACTAAGAAATACTCAAGGATTAAAATGCCTATAAACCATCTCATTACATGAACAAGTTATAGTTATGTACGTATGCAAAAGAAGGGCAGTATTTTCCTCTAAACTAGGGACAAACTCATTCTGGCAGATCACCTGGAGGTCCAGGGAGAATTAAGAGGTAAGTAGAGGTACAAACAGCAGAAGAATGGTAGTAATGTGCCTGCTCCAAGATGACTTTTCTTTGGACTGGACTCATCTAAGTAGGTCAGTTACCAAAGGATGATTTGAAAGAGTTCTCAAAAGCCTCCTGTCCAAAATACTTCTTCTGTGTTATACCACTAACAACTGAAATGTCTTTACAAATAGAAGCTTATCTAGGACTGGGTTTTTTGTTTTGTTTTGTTTTGTTTTATGGCAGTCCTGGGGAGTAAGGATGAAGTCCAGGGGGCACTGTACCACATCCCCAGCCCAGACAGAATCTCACTAAGTTGCCCAGGTTGGCCACTGCACCAGGCAGCACTGTCCTTTCTTAAAAGGCACATAGGCCTGAGAGGGTAGTGTGGTTTCCAAACATGCCAGGCAGCTGAATGTAAGCTGATAAGCAAAAGCATGTGGTGAGCCAACAAAGAACTATGCCTGAATGCAGAGTCACAGGGAGATTAGACCAAGCAAAAGCAAGCAGAACTCAGAAAGAAAGCAGTAGGAGGAAAGCAGGTGCTCCAAGAGAAGCTGAATTTGAACCAATTTCGCAGGTTTTCCTGGGGCTGGCAGGAAGGAATCTCGTCAGCAGTGGGGTGGCTGGCAGCAGACAAAGGGGCACTTGCACTACTCTGTAAGAACACAGAAAGTAGGGGAGAAGGAATGTAAAGAAAAGGATAATGACTAGATAACGCTTAATAAAGAAGTGACAACTTAGGCCACACTATCCTTTATCATTTTATCTTTTCTTCGTTTTTTGCTGCTCACATATCACCTCATCTCAGTTCTTAACTATTCTGAGGAGATTACAGCCATTTGTGTCAATCTTGGCCTGTGCTCCAGCCTCATCCCAAGTTACACAAAAAAGTTAAAAAACAATTTCCTATCTTTATTCTCAAAATATTATGGTGTATGAGCTGGTCCTTATTTGCTCTCTAGTGCTGTAAGTGAAGCAAAATAGAGCCCCAAGAACATGAGACTGTGCTCTCAAAGAGCTCGTAGTAGCTACTGTTAAGAGTTCAAAGGCCTATGCCCAATCATAGGCATGTCCCCAGGTGTGATAGGACATTGTGCTCCAGCTCTTCCAGAGGAATGGGGTAGAAAAACTCCATTGAGAAGACAACTGAGCAAGAGGACTTGGTACCAAAAAGGTCTGGTGGGAGAAAGTAGGGAATGTGAAGGATAGAGAGCTCATTTTCTTTCTACTACCCAAAAGCAGAGGCACCTGACCCCAGTAAGGGGCCAAAGTAGTGGTAGCCACTTGGATTCCAGCAGGGAGGTCCCTGGCCAGTCCAGGAGTGGTCATTAGGCATTGTCAGAGGGTGGAATGCTAGTCATGAGAAGGGAGAGAAACTGTTCCAATTTCTTTGCAGCTTGTTTCCCGGCCTCTAGTACTTCTTCATGATTGGCCTTCTCCAGGCTTTCATAATCTGTGATGACTTTGTTAGTGATGAGTGAGAAGCCAAAGACTCGAAGTCCACAGTGCCGAGCAACTAAAACTTCTGGTACTGTGCTCATGCCTGTTGGGAGGAACAGAGACATCAACTGTTAAGGTTTGCAAATGACTCTTCTCAACCTTTAGTCTCATCGTTCTTGAGAAGTGAACATCTCCAAAAGCATCCACAAAAACAGCTAAATTAGTATTGAGTTTATGTTATCCTGGATTGCTTAAAATAAGCGGGGCCTCAGAAGGTCTTACAAATTTCTTATAAATATGGCCAATACAATTAGTTATTTCTGTATTTGTGGTAATTTCAAAGTCTGTTCTAATGACAGAGGTCTACCTTCCATCCAGAGGTGCAGAAGTTGACTATATTGTTAGAATTGTTAGATGTTTGTTAGAATAATTCTTAGGGAGAGTCAAATCATGAATAGGTGATGAGCACTGAAGCTCTTAAGATCTTGTGCTACATCTCAACAAACCTCCCCACTTTGTTTTCCTGCAAGTCAGTTTACCCTTCTATTAAATCAAACCCTCTCTCAATTCTGTTAGGTCTGTAATCTACTTCTCTCCATTGCTCTTTTACCAGATCCTTCCCTCAAGCCTCCAGCCATATTCCCCTCTTCTCACCAACAGCATCTGCCCCCAGCTTCTGCAGCAGGTGACATTCTGCCACAGTCTCAAAGTTGGGGCCAGCCAACATCACATAGGTGCCTTCTTGGAGCTCTCTCTTCTCATTCATTTGTTTCCAGACACTGAAAGCCTTCTTCCTCATATTCCGGTCATAAGCATCAGACATGGCAGGGAAACGAGCTCCAAACCTAAGTCAAAGGATGGATTATCTCAGATAAATGAAATTAAATGAGCTCATTCCTAACTCCCAGACAAGTCCTTAAAACCTACCCCTTGGAAACAAAAAAGCACAATGCATACCTTTCATCATTGGGCCCTATGAGAGGGTTCTGACCAGAGAAACCAGGTAGGTTGATATGATCACGGATCAGCATGATGTCTCCCACCTCAAACTTAGGGTTGAGCCCTCCAGCTGCATTGGTGACCACCAGAGTATCCACTCCCAAAAGCTGGAAAACCCTCACGGGAAATGTTACCTTGGAAACAAAAGATCAAAAATTTTCAAATTTCAATCTACCTATGAAGATGTATGTAATATATATCACGAAAGAAGAGACAGAAGAGGAACAAAAGTCTACCTAGCCCCAGTAGCTAGATAATTGTTATGGTTTAGATCTAGAATGTTCCCTAAAATTCTTGTGTGCTCAGAGGTGGATCTTTTAGAAGGTGACTGGATCATGGAGGCACTACAGCTGACTTGCTGTTAGGAGGTGGGGCCTGATTAGAGGCAGGTTACTGGGGCCTCACTTGGAAGAGTCTACCCCCCTTCCTAGATCCTCCCTTCTCTCTACTTCCAGGCTGCCATGATGTGAACAGCTTTCCTCTGCCCAGCCCCTTCCACTCCAGCTGACTATAGACTGAATCCTCTCTTCCTTTAAGTTATGGGTGTTGGGCATATTGTCCCTGCCTCAAGAAGGTGACAAGACAGTAATAAAAAGGATGGCTCTCTCTCCCTTTTATTCCAGATCCAAGCAGGGCTATGACCCTGATGTACCTTCCAGAGTGAGTATCCTTCATACATGTGGAATCTGCCCCGCATCATCACACAGGCTTTGCCATTCAGGAATCCAAACACCAATTGACCAGCATGACCTGGCACTGTATACAAACAAGAAAGGAAAATGAGCGGGAGTATGCTTTCATGGAACACATACCTCCTGAGCACTACAATGTGGCACTCAGTATGCTCTACATATGAGTCATGATTAAAGACATTAAAAGTCTGGGGAAGACAATCATAATCCTACAAGGCAACCTGGAATTAGATCTATGGAGGAATGGATGTTTCAGTATGATCACACAAAAGGAAAAGTTTTTAAGAACAAATTTCAAAAGAATGAGAAAGCCATACTGCAATGTGATAAAAGTGAAAATAAAGAAAATAAAGTGGGGCTGGGGATTTAGCTCAGTGGTTCTGGTGCCTGCCTCATAAGCACAAGGTCCGGAGTTTGATCCCCAGTACCGAAGGAAAAAAATAAATAAATAAAATGGGTGGAAATAAAAAATAAAGTGTGAAATGCTGAATGCTGTAATTATAGACCTCTTCTAAATTTGTCAGGGAGAGAGGGCTGGATTTGAACCCACGACAATCTCTCTTTATGACCCACACCAGTCCTGTAGAAATGCACACCCATTTAGGTGGAGATGGGGGATAGAAATACAAAGATAACTCCCCACAGTCAAAATACCCACTTCTGCCGTGTCTCTTCTATGGCAATTAACGCTAATGTGAGGCCAACTTATCCCTTAGGGAACTGATGGTCTGGGCAAGGGACCAGAATCAACAGGAAGCAGTGAGGGATACTCAGAGAGGGAGGAGTTACAAAGTTACTAGTAACAGAGCAAAACTCAGTTATGAAAACCCAACTGGAGTATAAAAACATAAATAGAGCTGGGTGCGGTGGTGCATGCTTATAATCCCAGCACTTGGGAGGCTGAGGCAAGAGGATCGTCATGACTTCAAGGCCAACCTGGGCTACAAAGTGAGTTCAAGTTCAGCCTGAACTATAGAGTGAGGCCTTGTCTCAAAAAGAAATAAACTTAAAACTTATCTCTTCGTGCGGTGCCCTTCTCACGAGAGGCAGGAGCAGCAAGCCAGTATCACTATCGGCTCCCTTCGGGAACTATGCCCTCCTTTGGCCCTCCCTTTTTTAACATTATTTCCTTCTTTAAACCTTGTTTCCATGCCTCTTGCTTTGGTCTCCCAGTCTTGGTCCAAAGGGTTTTAAAATATTTATTAAAAGTCTTAACCAAAAAAAAAAAGTCTTAACTATCCAGGAAACAGAAGAAGGAAGCTTAAAATCTTTAAAAATTAATAAATAAACCAATGGAAGTTAATTATTTGAGAATAAGTGAATCAAATAAATTAATCTCATCTTTTACTTGACCTATTTTTTTTTTGTTTTTTCCGGTCCTGAGAACTGAAACCAAGCCCTTTGCACTGGGTTACATCCCCAGTCCTTTTTATTTTTTATATTGACGCAGGATCTTGCTAAGACACTAAGTTGTCAAGGCTGGGCTCAAAATGGCAATCTCCCAGTCTCAGCCTCCCAGACTGCTGGGATTACAGGTGTCGGCCACCTTGTCCAGCTTGACCTAGCCCTTTTCTAAGTCTTAGCCTTAGAGCTTTCTGGCTGCTATCAGAATGCTGGATATGCTGCCTTCAGACCTCTCAGAGCTCCACCGTGCATCCCTTCCTCTCCCAAAAGGTAAACATGAATTAGGTCTTGTGTGTTTGCCTATCTGTATGTCTGTAAGAACATGGCGGTCTGTGTGTTCATTTGTTGCTGTGCAGTGTGTGTATTATCCTAGGCCTGGAGCTAGAGGCAGGGAGAGGCCTGACTTTGTCCTGGGAGGTGGTAGATAGTTTTTCCCATTTAAACTACAGGGTCGAGGTAACGAGAGGGATGGGTGTCTGGGAGGAGGCACATGCAGGGAGAGGTGCTATAGAGTTTTAAGGAGCTGTAATGTAAGCCAGTAAAGCATAGGAAAGATGTTGTCTTAGTCCCACTGACTCATGCACTATTTTAGGAAATTTCTTTTAGGGGAATTTTGTGGTAGTCTTTTCCCCTCTTACAACATTTGATTTTGGTCAAAAGCTACATCCAGGAGTAGTCACACTGACTTCCCTGATTGAATTCCACAGAACACCAACAATATCCCTCAGTTTCACCCACCCCCTCCTTCCAATTCCCAGTACCTGTGCTTTGGGGAAAGTTGGGTATGTCGCTGTAGTCAAAGCTCTGGGCCTGAGTTAATCTATCAGCCAGACCTCCTAGCCCAGAACCACAGATCACTGCCACTTGCGGCCGGTGCTTAGTATGAGAGAGAAGCCATTGTGCAGTGTTCTGATAATCTTCATACGTGAATCTAGAGGATAAAAAGGAAATCACAGTGAATTTTACTCCCATTCCAAGGGTATCGCAGACCAGTGACCTTCAGTGCAGAAAGGCTGGCAGGTATTGAGGTCTCAGGGAACAGAGAAGGTGGCCCAGAGGTAGAGTTCACAAGCCTGCAGCAAATCGGGCATGAAAACCCCTCAATTTGAGAACCTGGCCAAAGTTAAAGAACTCTGTCTTCACTAACAGCCCCAACTCCAGTGTCAATAACATGTGCAGGTTTTTGGTTTCACTTTCACTGTGGTGCTGGGAATCAAACCCATGGCCCCTCACACACTAGACAAGTGCTCTACTGCTGACCTACTCCTCCAGCACTGACAAACTTATTACTTCCCGTGAAAAGTTTCAGGAGGGACTATAGGACCCAGAGAAGTGCAAGGACAAATAGAGAGTAAAGCTAAGGAGAACCCTCAAAATGCAATTAAGACCTCCTTGAGGGCAGGGGTAAACTCAACACACTCTTCTATGGTACCCTATCTATCCCCTACTGACACTCAAAATATAATTAAGGATAACTGCCCTGAAGGCAGGAATAAACCCAATTTCCTCTTAGAAATTTACCCTCTAGTTCCTTCCTCAGCCAAATACTAAAAGGCTAATAACCCCCACAGCCCCTACCCTCTGCTGATAGAATCAGGGGCCTAAAGATGCTAAGTCCTCTACCACTAAGCTGCCACATACACAGTGTGTGTGTGTATGTGTGTGTATGTTTGTACTCTAAAGAAGGAGCATCACTCAAACTGGCCTCCAGCTCCTGGACCTAAGTGATCCTCTTGCCTTAGCTTCTCAAGTAGCTGAGATTACAGGCCTACCACATGCCTAGCTCTTGGGTCTAAGTTTTTTGATTAACACAAAAAAGAAAGAAAGAGAGAGAGAGAGAAAGAAAGGAAGAAAGACAGAGAAAAAGAAAGAAAGGAAGCAATGGGAACACTCCTAGTAGACGTCTCTGTGCTATTTTGAGCTTCTCCTGGATCCTCATTTCTAAGATTCCTAGGTCCCTACAAGTCCCTACTATATGGAACCACAAAGGTACCCAAGACCAGAGACTGAACTACTGCAATACAACAGGCCACAACAAATTTACAACATTGGTGGTCTGCCAAAGGATAAACTAGGACTGACTAAATTCTCTGCAGAAGCTTGTTACAAACACCGATTATAGGCCCATCCCTGTAGATTAAAATTTTTCTAAGAAGCTCCAAAATTTGAAACTTTTTCCTGCTTTCCCTATCTGTGAGCTCCTCCTGCTGTTCTTCCTGGTCTCTGATTACTTCAATCTTCCTTTCTCTTCACACCAAGACTTTTTCCCTTTAGGATATAAAAGCAAAAGATTACCCAGAACCACTACACTACTAGCAAGAGTCAATCTGGAACTTTTCTCAGTCCCAACTCTAATTCCACTACACTTATCTGAAAAGATCGAAGACTGCTCTCAGAGGTGGAATTGAGGTATAATAGAGTTGAACACAACTGATCAAGCTTTCAGAGGAAATATTTTTTCTTTATAAGCAGAGCCTAGGCAGGGTGTGGTGGCACATGCCTATAATCCCAGCACTTGGGAGGCTGAGGCAGGACGATCACTGCGAGTCTGAGGCCAACCTGGACTACACAATGAGTTCAAGGCCAGCCTGAGAGCAAGATCCTGTCTCAAAAAATAAATAAATAAATAAATAAATAAAAATAGACAAAAACAAACAACAACTAAAAGCAGAGCTAGGAGCCAGGCACAGTAGTGAGGCCCTGTGGTCCCACTTGCCAGGCTGATTTGAGAGGATTTCTTTTTTCTTTGTTTACTGTGTGAAACTAAAAGAAATTTTATTTCAAATTTTAAATTAAATTCATTTGATACAATAATACCATTAAGTCTACAAAGTCTTTGGCAAGTTGTGTTAGTATCCAAATCCTGCAATGCTTTCTCAGTGTAAATTCTGAAATATTCTCTGAATTCTTGATAAGTTCACTTTTCTGTCAGTGGAAACATCAAAATTCTAAGGTATTTTCACTTTTAATTTATAAGAGATATAAATGATAAAATTATTTTTCTAGGTTAGTATCATTAAAGGATAGTGGTACTAAGGACAATACATACTTTTTTTTTTTTTTTTTGGTTCCAGGGATCAAACTTGGGTCCTTACACTTGCAAGGCAGGCAGCGGAACCACTGAGCTAAATCCCTGGACCGACAATACATACTTTTAATGAAACCAAATCTATTTGAAAAAAGGGAAATCACCAAATTAAACAAAAGTACAAAGTACTACAATCAACTGCATAGATTTATATAAGCATACTTATTTTTACTGGAAAAATGTTAAAGCCCTTTCTCTTTTCTGAAGCACAAGTAGTCAATCATGTGCTAGTTTCTCAAGAATTCTGTATGTTTTGCAATCTTTACTGTTATCTGTTAATCATGGTTTGCAATGAATTATGTTTTACAATCTCTACGGCAATCTCCTAACTTTTATACTTGCCAATATGTTCACGGACTATAATAAGCCTTTGAATTTGTGCAGTACCTTCATAAATCTGATAGATCTTGGCATCTCTCATTAGTTTTTCTACTGGATATTCTGAATTAAATCCATAGCCTCCAAAAATCTGCACGGCATCAGAAGCTAATTGATTTGCAGTATCTCCAGCAAATGCCTTTGCAATAGAGGCATAAAAGGTATTTCAGTGACCAGCATCAACTTCCCAAGCTGCTCTCTGGTAACTTAATCTGGCTAGCTCAACTTTCATTGCCATTTCTGCCAGCAAAAATGATACTCCTTGGTGCTCTACAAGTAGCTTTCCAAAAGTTTTCCTTTCCAGGGCATACTTGGTGGCTTCATCCAAAGTTCTTTGTGCTAATCCAACCGTACCAGCTGCTACTGTAGGTCTAGTTCTATCAAAAGCTCCCATTGCAATTTTGAAACCAGCTCTTTCACCAATTAAAACATTTTCTTTAGGCACTTTCACATCTTCAAAGACAATTCCTCTTGTATCTGAATATCACTGGCCCATGTTTAATTCCTTTTTTCCAATATGCACTCCTGGGCTATCTGCTTCCACAATAAATCCAGTAAAAGCTTTACTTGCAGGAGCTTTGGGATCTGGATCAGAACGTGCCAATAAAAAGTACCAGTTAGCTTTCCCTCCATTGGTTATCCACATCCTCTGACCATTAATAATCTACTCATCTCCTTTTCTTTCTGCTTTTGTCTTTATGCCAGCTACATCAGAGCCTGCTCCATGTTCTGTTACACAGTAGGCACACATCATTGGTTCCTCAGTCATCCTTCTCAAATACTTCTTTTGTTGTTGATCATTTCCAGCAATAATAACAGGCATTTGCCCCAAAGAATTTGCTTCAACAGCAGTCTGAAATCCTGTACATCCATAGGTCAATTCCTCAGTAATTAAACACGCATCAAAAGTTTCAAGCCCAAGACCTCCACAACTCTCTGGAATGTGTGTATTCATTAAACCAAGCTCCCAGGCTCTCTTAACTGGGGGCACAGGATATTCACCCATTTTATCATATTTTGCAGCAACTGGGATTACTTCCTCCCTGGCAAATTTACGAGCAGTAGCTTGAAATTCTTTCTGCTGTTCGGTTAACTCAAAACTAAATCCTAATCCTGGTTCACGTTTGTGAGCAGCTTTTGTATGTTGTGATCTCCACTCAGAATGAGAAATACTTCTTAGGACCCCGCAGCTTCTCCTGAGCACCGCTGCCATGCTAACTCTTGCTCGTGCCGCTCCTTGAGAGGATTTCTTGACCCACAGGAGTCTAGCATGGGCAGTATAGCCAGACCCTGCCTCAAAAAACAAAGCAAAAAAAGCCTGGGAAACCAGACAAAATTCCATAATAAAGTGGGCTACTCTCAGGGAAGTAGCTGAGTAACAGGTTGCGGGAGGCAATAGAGCCAATAAGGTTGGTGACATATTAACCAACATGCATCCTTAAGAGGTGCAAAGAAAATGAAAGTGTACAGCCATTACCTCACAGCTCAAAGGACTTCCTAATTGGTGTCCCTCCCCCAAGAGCACTCTTGGTTCTCGGTCATCCAAAAGGCACAGGGAGATCCCTATGCTGGTGACTTGCACTGCGAATTCCAGGACCAAAGCAAAGAGAAGGTTTTTCAAAGGTGTGGGGTGGGATCGAACGCTGTACGCTTCTCCGCTCAGCGAATAAAAGAAAAGGAAATCTCTCCTTAGTGACTCCATTCCGAACTGGTGCATCAGGGTAGGAAGGAGTTGGTAACGGGGGGGGTAAACCATCCTTCCTCCAAAGGAAGAACGCCAGGCTTCCAAAAGTCTTTATCGGTCTTTACCTAGACCCTGAAATGATCACCTGTGAAGAGCACACGTGGTGGGGAGACCAAGTCTGTGGTCTGGACTAGGAGGTGTGCCTCCCTCTCCACTCGAACCCCTAAAACACGCACACAGAGGGACACACAAGTTCCTCCAGGAGTAGCCTGTGCTGTACAAACTTGTTCCCTTTCTGCTTAGGCAGCGCAATCCCAGCTCGATTCCCGCGCGCGCCCCGCCCTCGCTGTTTGCCTCACCGTTCGGTCGCCCTGACCCAGGCACCGGGCTCCGTGCCAGGCCTCTCTATGTCTCCAGGGTGCTCGCTCCCTTTCCCTGTCCCCTACAGACCAAGGTGCTGAGTTTCCGGGTCTCCATAACAGTTATTTCCCCTCCCCGGGGGCCCCGGGGATCTCTAGGCCTGATGCTCGTCTCACCCGTCCTCCATGGTCCCAACGTGCTCCCAGAGATTCTGCTCTTCCTGGTTGTGATCGATCGGTGGAGCTAGGTGGCGGTGGCCGATCCAGTCCGCACAGTTAGCGTACTGTGCCCTGGGCTCTAGCTTTTATCTCCCAGCCCCAGCGTCCCCAGCCAATGGCAGCCAAGCAGGCGGGCCGGCCCCGTCTCCATGGTGACGCACAGCCGATTCGGCGGCCTGAGGCGGAGCTGAAAATCCAATCCGATTTTTTCCCAGAGTTGAAGCCTCCCCACCGCGGTCTGGAAGAGTTTCATCCTGGAGCCCTCTCAGGTTGCCAAGGCCAGGGCCTCCAGCAAAGGAGGGGCCGCGAGGCCCCTGAAACGTTTGTCTATGACCCCATTCCAAGCTGTTTACAGCAAACCACTAGAGATTTAAAAAGAGAAAATTTCAAGCTTCAGACGGTGCCACCCAAGAATAAAATGAAGAAAGCCAGGATCTTGAGTTGCTTCCCGGACAAGGGAAGCAGGGTTACCCTGGCTACTACAGTGTTGACTTGGAGGCTGCAGAGCTTTGGGAAAACACTTCCAGGTCCAAATGGGAGAAGAGAAAGTTCTGGTGCAAGAATTCTTGGATCCTTTGCAACAGGATGAGTGGTGGCCTGATACTGGATCCAAACAATTCCCTTAAGTAGAGGACTCCTCCCAAGATGATATTTGTAAGAGTTCATTTGCTGCTCCTCCCACTCTTAGAAGTTTTATCAGTTTTGCATCAAATCATTGGTCAGTGCTCTTTGCTTAGCTCTTGGCATCCTCCAGCCTTTCCCTATCCCAAACTCTAAACTTTCTTGCTTGGCCTTTTACCCATCACCGAAACCCAAGTCACTGTTTTCTAACCGCATTTTTCTCATTCAACAAGTATTTGTTGAGCACCAGCTATGCAGCAGAACTGTTCTAGTGTTGTGGACATGAACTTGAAAATAATATCTGTAAAGAAAAAAAAAACTGTATAGAGAACTGGGCCTAACACTAAACAAGTGGTCTGTTCTATTATGATTATTGTTATTATTACTATTCTTTTTTTTGGTACGGGGAATTGAACTCGGGTCCTTGCGCCTGCACAGCAGGCGGCAAAACCACTGAGCTAAATCCCCGGCCCCTATTATTATTATTCTTATTCCTCCAGTTATTTCAGCAGAGATAACAACAGATTGGATTACTAAAGATTCATTTTAGTGATGAGACTATAAAGATTTGGAATAGAGCCAGGCGTGATGGCCCATGCCTGTAATCCCAGCACTTGGGAGGCTGAGACAGGAGGATCACTGTGAGTTCAAGGCCAGCCTGAAGTACATAGTGAAACCTCATCTCAAAAAAAAAGAAAAGATTTGGAATATTGAAAGTCTTATTTTAAATAATGGAGACCAGTCATAAGTAAAAACCAGCCTGTGGTGGTTAATATTGATTGTTAACTTGAGTGGCTTGAGAGACTCCTAGGAGATTATTAGTAAGCACACTTCTGGATGTGTCTGGGTGGGACATAAGGGTATGATCTGTCCTTGCAGTTGTTTCCTGATCCAGGGAACTATCTCTGGTCCCTAACCCCTTCCTCTCTGCCACTCTTTGCCTGTGCTCTGCTTCCTGGCCACCATGAAGTGAGCAGCTTTGCATCACCACACCCTCCTACCATGATGCTGCTGCCTTGGAACCAGCCAGCCATGGTCTGAACCCTCATTAGCAGTCAGCCAAATAAACCTCTCCTCCTTCAAGCTGTGGGCATCCAGAGCTTTGTCCTTGCAGTGGGGAAGCTGACCATTATGCAGTCACAGAAAATATCTATCAATATTTGACAGTTTAAGAGCTTTTGAAAATTATCCTAAATCTAGTCTAATTTACACAAATGATAAGATTAGGACATAAGTATAATTTAGGAAATTCAAATGGGTGTGGTAGCGCATGCCTATAATCCCAGCACTTGGGAGGCCTCTGAGGCAGGAGGGTTGCAGCAAGTTCGAGGCCAGCCTCTGCTACATAGCAAGTTAAAGTCCAGCCTGAATTATAGAGTGTGACCTTGTCTCAAAAAACCAAAGGAAAAGAAAATGGAAGTTCAAACCTAATCAATTAATTCCAATAGATTTTGTCTAAAGTAAGTATACGTAAATAAAAAAGATAATCTGCAATACATCTACAAAAGAAAAACATTGAGGGACAAGTTTCAATTTTCTGTAGTGTTTTTCTGGCAAGATATGAGGAATAGTTGCATTTATATTTTACCAAGGCAATGTATTGTTATTTGATGGACAAAAACAGTTTTTCAGTGGGCATGTTGGCCAGGGTGGCATAACCTTCAGAACATACTTTACCTTTTTTCATTTGCTTGTTTACTTGTTTTGATTATTGTGCTGGGAATACACCCAGGGCCTCACACATGCTAGGCAAGTGCTACACCGGAGCCCCCATACTGAATTCTGGTTCAAGTTCAACAACCAACCTTCTACATAATCACTTGGACTTTAATTGGCTTTGTTGTTGTTTTTGCTTATTTGTTTCTGCAGTAGTACTGGGGATGGAACCCAGGAGCACTTCACAACTGATATATATACCAGACCATTTCATTTTTTGAGACATCATCTTGTTAAATTGCCCAGGCTCATCTCGAACTTGTGATCCTCCTGTCTCAGCCTATGGAGTAGCTGGGATAACAGGCATGTGCCACTACACCAAGCTGGACCCCTAATTATTTTCACCCTGCATTCATCAGTGGACTCCTGAGAAGAGCCTGCCCAATGAGGTCTAGCAGCTTCCTTAGATCACATCTTCATCTTGTGGTCTGTCAAACAAGGTTGCATTAAATCCTATCTGAGATCCTGTCCTGTGCCCGTCTTTGGCAACCCATCTTTATCTCTTACTGCTTTCCTCAGAGGCTTTTAACCACTGAAGGGTACAGATTCATGAGGTTTCTTTTTTATATGTTTATCTGTTTCGCTGTAAACAGAGATACTTTCTGTGAAATACTACTAAACATCTTTTCTTTCCTATTACGCCATTTCAGACCAAATCCCCATATTTTTAATGACTATTTCAATGTTTGCAACACCCAAGTCCAGAGTTTCCAATTTCTCAATCTGCAGTGAATTTAATATTTCAACAATCTTTTCCTAGCATTTCTGGCCTGTAGTCTGAGCTACTCAAGATGCTGAGAAGGGAAGATCAGCTGGGTATGGTGATCCACACTTGTAATCTCAGCACTTCGGGAAGCTAAGGCAGGAAGATTGTAAATTCCATCCCAGAGTGGGCAGTTTAGCAACTTGGTGAGTTTCTGTCTCAAAATAAAAAATGAAAAGGGCTGGGGCTGTAGCTCAATGTGAAGACCCTGGGTTCAATCCCTAGTCCTGAAATAAAGAGGTGAAAGAAAGGATCACTGGAGCCACTGAGTTTAAGATCAGACCAGGCAACATAGTAAGACCAAGACCATGATCATAAGTAAATAAATATCCCATGATACCCCTGTGAGCTTGCACGCTGGTATGGTTTGGGACATAAAAAAAAAAAAAAATCAACTAGAATCCCACACTATTAACATGTGGCTATTTACTCTTAATAAAATTAATTTAAATGGCATAAAAATTTAGTTCCTAGTTGTATTAACTACATTTCAACTCCTCAGTAGTCACATCTAGCTAGTCGCTACCATATGGAATAGCATAGACACATTTTTATTATCACAGAAAGATGTGTTGCACTTTTGTTTTGTTTTGTGGTTATTTTCATTTTCCCCCCTTACCTTTTCTAGTCATTCATAAAAGAAGCTGGCACTGTGTTTTATTCTTTACTTGTAGGGTAAAGTCATTTTTAGGATTCCTATAATTGAGAACTAAACAATCATCAACGTTAGGGTGATTATAGTTTATTACTGCTTATTACTCTTTCTTCTGTCTTCTTATCATCCTTCTATCTTCAGAAACACTCCTGTGTCCACACACACACACTTAATAACACCCATCCTCCATCCTCAAGATCAAGGAGACTGAAAAACAGAAGTGGCAGAGACAGATTCTAAGTCACTGGGTATTGCCTCATGGAATGGAGAGATGTTTCCAGATAGTGAAAGCAGGCTCAGCGTCTTTAAATTTCTTTAAATTTTATTTTTAGATAAGGTCTTGCTCTGTAGTCCAAGTTGGTGTGATACCGACCATGTACCACAGCTATCCTCAAACTCATGATCCTCTTGCCTCAGCTTCCCAAGTGCTGGGATTATAAGCATGTGCCACTACATCTGGTTTCTGTAAGAATTCTAATATTTGTTTTTCTTTTTTCTCTCTCTCTTTTTTGAGACAGGGTCTCATTGTATAGTTCAGGCTGCCTTGGTCTGACTATGTAGCCCTTATTATTATTATTTTTTTTATTTTTAGACAGGATCTCACCATGTAGTTGAGGCTGGTCTTGAACTATGTAGCCTGGACTGGCCTCAAACTTGCAGTGATTCTCCTGCCTCAGCCTCTCAAGTGCTGGGATTACAGGCTTGAGCCACCACACCCAGCCTCTTTCCGATTTTTCATCCCTCTTTCTATCTCCTCCTTCTAAATACAAAGGAATATAGATGGGGAGATGGGAATTCAAAGCAGGACTTTCCATATCAAGAATATAAACCTGGGAAGACATCACCCTTCTGCAAAAATAAGTGTGTATATTAGCCAGTGATTGCCTCCATTACCCCCCAACACCATGCCCACAGAATTCCACTCAGTTAGGGCCCAGGATGCAGCTCAGCAGTGCCTCGCCTGCTTGGCAAATGGAAGGTCCTGAATTTGATTCCTGATATGGGGTGGGTCCACTTAATTGAATCTACTAGCATGAATATTGAGAAGATCAGGCAGTGGGAAGGGGGCAGAGTAGCCAAGAGGGAGTGTTTCTGAAGCTTTGGTCTCATTTTCTGTTTCCCGTGGTGGTACAGGGTCATCCATGAACTTGTGGCTCTTGCTCTTCTCTGTTTTCCCTCAGGGCTGTCATACTAAATCCAGGGTGAGGAGTCTTTGATGGGGCATGGGATAGGTGATTTAAGAAAATCCATAAACTCCTGGTATCTCTCCCTATTCCCTAAAGTCAGCACTTGGCCATTCCCTGGGTTGACAAACTCATGCAGTTGGCAGCATTTCTGTATGTACTATCTCTCAGCTCTCAATGAGACTTTTAGCAACTAACTTCAAAAATT